ATGAATTACATATGTAAATAAAATAATAAAATATGCCAGGCAAGGCCCAGCTGGTTGATTTAAAAAAAAAAAAAAAAAAAACTTTAATTCTTTTTTTTTTTTGCAATATTAAATGTATATATTTTTTAATTTTTGAAATAGTTGATTGATTTTTTACCTTTTTTTAAAAGTAAGAAAAGTTTTTTTGAAATTTGTGATGTCCGGAAGATAGAAATCCAAGATACACAATTAGTTCATACAAAGAAAATTAGACAGATATTAGCTCTTTAATAAATTTATTGTAATAAAAGATTTGTATAAATATAGTATTATTAAATTACTAAATAAACAAGTCGTACAGTAATTCCCATTTAAAAAAAAGAAAAAAATCAAATAGATATATTTATAACATAATCAATTATGTAATGATTATATTATATTATATACATATACAGTATATATATATATATATATAATTATAACATACTGAAAAAACAAATTATCTGTTTTTATTTACATCTGTCCATATATAAAAAGAATCTTGAAGAGAATAGGAAAAAACGATATATCTTAAAAAACTGTTGTACATTGTCACATCTCAGTAGAAAAAAATTCTAAGGCATACACGTAATAAGAATCCAAAGCCCATAGAAAAAAAAAAAATTTCCGAACTTCTATCTCATAACAGACACATGGTAAAAGGGAGTTTCTTTATAAAGAACACTATTTTTGTAAGATGTTAACAAATAATAGCACCTCATTCATTAAATCATCTAAATTCACGAGATCCTCAAAGCTAACCTTCGTGATTCAAAAAATTAGTTCAAATAATAGCCGGTTGGAAAGAGATTATTATTCCCAGCACGAAATAAAATGGAAGTAGAGAAGAAATGTGTGTGTGTGGAATTAGAGTCAAACTTACATAAGATGGATATATCTTAAAAGAATGTGTCTATAGTCATAGTCTGTCCAGAAATTAACAAGAACAGCCGCTCGCCGAGTTACTTCCCATATTTCTACTTGAACCTGCTTGTTGAATTACGTTTAGTTGGTCCCTATTATTATTGACCTGACGTGGACGGCTGATGATATGTTCAAGCGGAATTTTTTTTGCTGCCAACAGAAAAAATGAAGTGCATGTGGTTATCGCTCGTCGGTATATCGTACAAGTTTTGCATGGATATAAAAGTGGGTCATACCGATTTCTGTAAACACATCCCGTACGCCATCTCCTCTTTTTGCACTAGTTTCGAAAAACAGCAAGCCAATTTCGAGGGCATAGGCCTTAGCCTCTTCGGTGGGGACTTGTCGTCCGGATTCCATAGAATCATCGTCTTCACCTTCTTCAGTCGGTTGGACTAGATCTATCTTGTTTCCGGCGAGAGCAATGACAATGTTTGGATTCGCTTGGCGCTGTAATTCCTTTACCCAGGATTTGGCTTTATCAAGAGAGGCCTAGTTGTCAATGTTCAATTATGTGTATTAAGTAAAATGTGTGAAATCACACCGGTGATGACGCACAGCCTAACTTACAGCTTTCGTTACGTCGTAGACGACAACGGCCGCTTGAGCGTTGCGATAATACATTGGGGCCAGGGAGTGAAATCTTTCTTGACCAGCAGTATCCCAAATTTCAAATTTAATTACTTTGTCCTCTAAGCGACATTTCTGTGTTAAGAACGCAGCTACGAAAAATTTTCATTATTATCACGTGAGTTTCGGAGAAAGAAAACAAAGGGATAAGAATATTTTTAAGGAGGAAAAAAAGGACAGAGGAATTAGCTTTCACATACCTCCAATGGTGGGTTCCTTATTTTCTTGAAATTCATTGTTGACAAACCTGAGCACTAAACTAGATTTACCTACGGCGGCTTCACCTAATTATTAAGCAAATAAAGAAGGAAAAAAAATATATTGAGTTTGAACTTCAGAGTTACTGTTCTTGCAAATGAATGCAAAGAACTTCGAGTCAGCGAGGAGAAAGTGAAACAGGGGAAAACGGTCAAGAGGGAGAGCTCCGACAACACCTCACGGGGTAAAGAACTTACCCAGAAGCACTAATTTCACCTGAACAGGCTTTAAATTTGCTGATGGTGTTGTGCCGTTGTCTCCGCCAGCACGGGCAGGTGATTCTGCAGCTTGACGCGAGCTATTTGACATTTCCTTTATATAGATATCTTGTTTCGATTATATTTATCTTCCTTTTATTTCGAACCTGGCTTTATGAACAAAATAATTGTTTTTGCTTAAGTCGAACTAGTCAAACTGAAGGAAAAAAGGCGAATATTACATACAAAATGATTTTAGGTCTGCACAATAACGAAAATCACTGAGGTATCACATCACAAACGCCCAAGAAGTGATTTTCTAGTACGAACTAATGATAATAGGCTGAATCGATATTGTTTAACGTAGTCATTATTGTGAGGTTTAATTAAACTGCTTGGCCAGAATTACCTTTGCCAAACTTATGCGCGAGGTTGATCCACCACGATAGGTACCACATTGAGGGTTATGCGGTTATGCGCACCACCTGCCTGCAGTTACCATTATTTGTGGACAAAAGGGAGTCACGAAACGATTGGTTAGAAAAATTTTATGGTTTCACGCTAAACGCTAATAAAATATTTACAAATTTCACGCACGACAATAATAATAAAAAAAAAAAAAAAATCCCATCGTTACCACAAAAATCTATATATGACATCGACTATTCGTCTTGACGTTTGGTCAGGCGACGATTCCGAAATTGGTCGCGATAATAATAATCATCAATTTTCACCTAATTACACTAATAATAATTTTCCCGAAATGTTGACAAGAAGAAACATTAAAGGCACCAACAACCACAGTCCAACAAAATTGAAGAAAGAAGGATATGACCCCATATCTTTCGACTCCATTGATCTAGATGAGAATGGAAAAATGTACAAACCACTACGGCATCACGGGAATAAGGTATTCTCGAGTTTTTTCTTTTTTTCTTATGTATGCTAAGTTCGAAAAGTGACGTTTTCTTCTTTTAAAATAAAGTACCTCGCATTTTGGTATCAATACCAAGAATACCTTCTTCCTTTAATCATCACGTTTATTTCATTTTGGACAAGACTTTATTTAATCTCACTTTCTAATCGTGTCGTATGGGATGAGGCAAGTGGTCATTTTTTTTATATCGTACATGTGCGTGTGTGCACTCATTTACTGATTCCGCTGAAAACGATTAAACACAATAGGCACATTTCGGCAAGGTAAAATCCTCGTTTTTTGCATTCGCCCTAAACTTTTCGTTTCCACGAATAACACAGAATTTGAAATCAAATCAAATCAAATCAGTTTGGCTCGTATTATCTCAAACGCGAATTCTACTTTGACGTGCATCCACCACTCGGGAAAATGATTGTCGGTCTTGCAGGTTATCTG